ATGGTTCTATCAATAACCAAGCATGAAAGTGCAGGGGAATTTACACTAAAACCCTAGTTGCTATGCTACTAGCCTGTTAGCTGATGATAACGCATGCGTATTGATAAAAATATTATGGGATTAGTTTTTGTATTTCGCCAGCACACAATGTTGACGAGTTTCCAACGAGTACGACCGGATCTAGAAATGTTGAGGTCGTCGCCATCTTTGTCCCTATCCTTCTGCGATCTCTCCTCCTTTGAAGAAAGATGTTTTTTGCAAAACTAAACACATTTTTGATGATACATCCCACCCTCTTCATCCTAGATACTTAGGATCGGGCCGTTCGGGACGAATTCTTTCCATCAGGGCGAGGACTGACCGATATAAAAATTATTTTGTTCCCCAATCTTTACGAATTTACCGGCGTGCTTCCTCTGAAGTCGCACATCTGAATGAGAACTAATAACTCCCCGATTTTGCTAAGAGAACTCACTGAATGTCTGTTTGAAATAATTTAATATAAATTTCTTGTGTTCAAATTGTTTTATTTTTGTGCTGAAAATGTATAATGCAATCAAAAAACATTTCCATTTATTTGGATCAATAAAAGAATCTTATCTTATCTTATATGATAATAATGGATTCAAAATGCCTTTTGATTTTCCATATAAATGTCGATTTTTACTTTTTTTTTCTTCAAAATTTGCTAGGCCGTCGTTCATTTTTAAATCCTTTTTATAAACTTCGCTTTTGTTCGTAACTGGCTGGCTGGCATAATCTTCGGACAGCTCATTGACCCACTCTCCGTCAACCTAAAGAGCTAAAACTTTTGGACGAAACTCGTTGCCGGTGACAACCCATTCTATCAAATTTGCAGCACCAACATCCGACCCTCAAAACTCATTTTTTCCGGATTTTCGAGACAAAGGAAATATTCCGCAAAATTTCGCGAGATAAAATTTGCGATAACTGCGCTTAGTAAAAAAAAAAAAAAAAAAAAAATTTTTTTTGTGTTTTTGGGGGGTACCATTATTTTTTTCTTTTTTTTTTTTTCGGAAATTGTTGGTGAAACAAATCTGCAGCGTAAAGCGGGTGTGTGATTTAGAGTATTAATAGAGTTAAGGGGCGTGAAAACAAAATGTGCGGGTTGTGAGCCTTGGAAGGGGGAAGCACCAACTGGGATTCTTAGAGTAGCAGAGTGCGTTACTTGAATGCTTCTTTTTGTCAAATATTCAGCCTCACCTCTTGCTCGATATAACACTTTATAAAGGGATTAAAAGCGACCACAGTTATAATAACCGAAGCCAACCACTATTCTGATTATTCCGCCATTAAATGTGTGTCCTAGAACATCCATGAACTCTATGTGTCCTAGAACATCTCCATGAACTCTATGTGTCCTTGAAAGTGCATTACCTCTCTGTATCCTACCAAGAACATCCATTAACTGCGTGTCCTAGAACGCCCATTAACATTGTGTGTCCTAGAACTTCCATTAGCTGTGTCCTAGAACGCCCATTAACATTGTGTGTCCTAGAACGCCCATTAACATTGTGTGTCCTAGAACTTCCATTAGCTGTGTCATAGAACGCCCATTAACTCGATTTCAACACACTCTGCTCTTGTCACATGCTTGTCATTCAGTGTCCCCCCCCCCCCAAGACAAAAATCATTTCAGCCTGCGCTTGTCATGTGCCTGTCATTCAGGATCCCAACAGACAAAGTCATTTCAACCTGCCCCTGTGACATGCTTTTCATTCAGTGTCCTCATAGGACAGTCATTTGCGTGGGGGTTCAAATACAGTACACTATTAAAACATTAAGTACACCAAGAAAACAGAAATTAAAAAAAATACATGTTTAGTTTTCAGATGTTTTAAATTTTATTCATCAACAATTTATGTACAAAATAATGAATCGCTTTTACCCGAATCTTGCATAATTTCACATCCAAAACAACATGAACATGTGTTAATAAACTCCTAGCAGACCAGACACACAGCCTTGCAAAAGATGAATTGCGCTCAATAAATTACATTCGCCTCAAGTTCAATAAATTACAGCCACATCCAGGTACAGTCACACCTAGGGCTCACCCCATCAATAAATAACCTCTTGTATGCCACTCTCGTCCACAATAAATAAACGGGTCTGAATATGTACATTGATGAGGAAGGTCAAGGATGTTTCACCAGAAAATATTATCTTTGTAATTCACATGGAAAAATGCATCAGAATAGTTCAATTATCAAGCTGGCATTTGCCCAAAACATCAGGAGAAGCCATGTTGTTAAATAATTAGGTCAAAATTTAAAAAAATACTAAAAGTCAACATGGATGCATTTCTTTTTCTGCACATAAAATATTTAAAAATTCATCTTTAGTCCAGCGAAGATGGCCTTGTAGAATGATGAGAAGGCAGGACAGAAATGAATACAGGTCATCATCACATATCAGGACAATTCACCTTTATTTATTTATTTTTTACAAGCCAGCAATATGCAAAAGAAAGATATGACATTTTACGACAACCAAAAAAAAAATTTAAACAAAAAAAAGGGGGTTGGGGAGTGGGTTATTTTTAAAACAGATTTGTCATCTCAAAATGTTTTAAAAACTAGAAAGAGAGAAAATGGAACCAAAAAAAAGAAAGGTTTGACATGTACAACTTTTGCATTGATAGCGTGCTTGCTTCTAGGCTATGATAAGCCTGCTGCCTGTAGGTGGGGGGGGGGGGGGGNGGGGGGGGGGTGTCAAGCCAACAGCTCACTAATGGGTCCTCATTCAGCAGAGAAACCTTGCCAGTTGGCAGCAATGTTATGCAAAACATAAGGGTTTGTTTTAAAGGGGGTTGTGGGTGGGGGATGTTAGTGTCTTTGCCTATGATACAAACATTATTATAGAACTTATGATAAAAAAAATGACAAGCAAACTTATGATACAAACATTATTACAGAGAATAATTTACAAGGTTTAAGGTGAGATTGTACAAATTGGAATTTGTTTTTCTCCCTCTAATAAAGAGGGGGGGAAAAAATAAATTTGGATAACGAGGAATGAGAAGATGGGTCTTGAAACACCAGGTGATTGATTGGAATTTTAAAAAAAAAAAAAAAAAGGTATATGACAGATTGGAGTTTATAAATTATTCAATGCCCCTCGCCCCTTTAGACACTGATGGACGCTGAGCGTAGCACCTGGCTTGTAGTCCCACAATGGACACGACGGAACCATCTTTGCCTTGAGGAATAAGCCACAAAGTTTGGATCATTTGTGCTCATTTAGGACTGGGTTTTGACATTGGGTACCCAAAGGCAGAGGAACCTGCATCATAAATTACACATCTTACAGGATCTTCTTTCAGTTAGAAGTACAACAGAAAGCCCCCATTTCCACGGCCAATAAATAATTTCAATCATGAACACCGAGAGTGGATCTCATCACCCAGGGCGCCCGTCCCCAAACACAGACACACATTCCCCTAACAGCACATACCCCAACTGCCCAAAACGCCCCCACACAACCAACCCAAACTGACAAAAATAAAAATAGACAACCCCACACTGCTGTTGTCTGATAAATACACTTGGTTCATTAAAAACTAAAACCAACATCCTTGGAACATTACTATAAACTTATCCCACTAATAATTATTAATAGCCTGCCTTGACTGTACAGCGAATAGAGGATGCTAGAAAATTCAAGAGAAATTCTTTTACAAGGTCTGACATTTAAATACATAAATAGATAATAAATAAATAACTGTAACGTACATATGTACATACATACAGGAAGTACCAATTGTGTTATGGTGTGATTTGCATACAGACTGTCCATAGAAACTGAAGAGCACTCTGTTGCTAGATCTAGGCTAAGCTCCAGTATGGAGTACTGTCTCATCTTTTATATATTTTTGAATGGAAAAAAAAAAAAAAAAAAATTTGCATTGGCTTGGCAGTAGTAGTGTGATGTGGTCTGTATGGATGAGTTCATAAATAAATGATTTGATAATAAATATGGCACTCGTTTCAGTTTCATGTATTATGGTGGCAGTTAACAGTTCAACCTATTGAGGTCCTGAGATGACTATGACACCTGGACATACCCAGCAAGTTGTCAACCAAGTATAGCAGTAATTGCCTTTCTGTTCCAGGCCTCAAGTTAAAAAAAAAAAAAAAATGCAATGACCCCTGACCTCAAGAGGATGAAGGGGGAGAGCTTTGAAGTATAGGGACATTGGCAGCACAGTCATTAATGAATAACTAGGCTGCTCTGGAATGCATAACTGTAGGTCAGGGAGCGGCTGGAGGAGGTGTGCTCTGATGACATTGTTAAAAGGATGATGGATAAAATGCATGCAAATAATTCCGCAAAAAAAAAAAAAAAGAAAACAGTTTAATCAATTAGTCCTTTAATTTGAGCAACCAGGTTAATTAATAGTTAGCAACTTTTCCCCTATTCTTTCTTTAACAAAGGTAAAAATAAGGCTGGAGGAGGGGTGCTCTGATGACAATGTTAAAAGAATGATGGATAAAATGCATGCAAATAATTCCGCAAAAAAAAAAAAAAAAGAAAACAGTTTAATCAATTAGTCCTTTAATTTGAGCAACCAGGTTAATTAATAGTTAGCAACTTTTCCCCTATTCTTTCTTTAACAAAGGTAAAAATAAAGTCACTAGATTATTTGGGTCTGAGCGAAATACAGGTTCAAAAGTTCAATCAGTAAAAAAAGATAACACATATAAATAGAAATAAAAACTATTCCCCCCTTGACTAGACACACACTTGGGAGAAATTTAAAAAAAAAATTCAAGTAAAATCCCTAGACCGAGACCGTAAAAAAATATATATTAAATTCACAAAAAAAAAAAAAAAAAAAAAAAAAAAAAAAAAAAAAAACAAAAAAAAAAAAAAAAAAAAAAAAAAAAAAATAAAAAAAAAAATAAAACAAAAAACCACAAACCAAAAACAAAAAAAAAAATAAAAAAAAAAAAAAAAAAAAAAAAAAAAAAAAAAAAACCCATCCAAAATGCCTCACTAAAAAAAAACCACAAACACTGCATAGATTTACTTAAACTTCCCAGTAAAATTCATGGGTGTGAGGGGGAGATGTTTAAAAGACCCACAAAAAAATATACACCTAAAACAGCTTTGAGTATATACAAGTAAAAATGTCACCAGGATTTAGTCATTGAAGATGGCTGTGAAGATGGGTATATAATACTGCAGAGTTTGTCTTATAAGTCTTACTTTTACAATTATGCATTCACCATGCACAGTATGTTCAGTGGTACACACAATAACATTTTTAAAAAAATATAATTTATCGCTACACAAATCCTCCTGACAACATCTCTCCAAAGCACAACAAAAGATGTCTCTGTCCTGAATGTCCACATCTTTAAAGTTCTCAATAAAAAAAAAACAAAAAAAAAAACAGTCTACCACCACCAGAACAGGCAACCAATCAAAGAGTGCCACATGTAAAGTTTTATCACATGTCTATCAGGACGACAGCTCCTCAAAGAGTAATTGCACATGCTGTGAAAGTTTTGGGTGCACCCGCTTGAAAAAACACCAGAAGTTAAGGTAAGAACGTGCTCATCAGGTATCCGTGGATCAAGTTGGTTCAGTTTATCCATAGAATCCATGCACACGTAGTTGGCTTAGCTTCAGGCACGGTGCAAGCATTGGGAGACCGCAGGCTGGCCACTGGCTGCAACTGAGCTCAGGTCATCAAGGGTTAAAATCCCAACAGCTGGGGCCCGGCCCGGATCTGCTGGGTAGACGGGGCATCTACCAGGATGAGGCCCAACATCACGGCCACATTTCCCATCTATGTCTGAAGTCAATTTGATAACCTAGTCGTGAGAATTGATGATCAAAGAGACTCATTACTGCCTAGCAGGGCAACATCAACAACTTTTCCGGAGGCTGTTGTCCTCTTGCGGTTCTCTGGGATGGGAATGGGAGCAGGAACCTTGCTCATCCATGGATGTGATATGATCTGCTCCAATGATGGCCGTTGTTGAGGGTCGATGGAAAGGCATTTCTGTATCAAGTCTTTGCAAGCTGAAAGTAACGTTTAAAAATAAAATCAATAACTATTAAACAACTCTACTTTAACATAATGATATAAAAAATATTTTTTTTTGCATTTAAAAAATGAGAAATAAAAAGAACCATTGGTCAAGAGTTTTAATTGTGCTTACCAGGGGTGAGTGGAGCTTTGTAATGGAGCTGGGCAGCTTTGATCTGCTCATCCTGTTCAAATGGAATATCACCATTGACGAGGTCAAACAGCAGAATGCCCAGGGACCAAACAGTTGCCCGGCGACCATTGTACAAACGATTTGAGATCCACTCAGGTGGGCTGTATACACGTGTACCTGGGGAAGACAAATTTCATTCAATTAATTCGAGTTATTACTAAAAAAATAACAGTAGACCGCTGCAAAATATTCAAGAAAACGAAAGACCCAAGATCAGCTTTTCAAAATGAGCGCGGTGACAAAGATGTGTGTGCATGAAACCAACAAGTATATTGAAAACGAAATTCAAATTTCAGCTTCCAATAATTTGATTAAAGACTCACTTAGAGACAGGCGGGGACCACATCTTAGGGATTAAAACCACAGGGGGGAAGAAGGGGAAGAACTAAATGGTAACATTGTTACTAGTGGGACCAGACGTTACAAGAGGGAAAAAGCATAATACCATTTCAGAGCTCATGCAAGGAGAACACAAAGACGCCCCCCCCCCTCTTTTTTTAAAAATTATCTGAGGTTTATAAATACACCTAACTATACCACCCTCCCCCCAACCCCCACATGGACAGAAGTTGGCAACATTCCTACCCGGCACGCACAAGTAAGGCAGGCGGAGGCAAATGGTGGAAAAAAAGTCCTGCCCACACGTCTTTGTTTTCTGTCAAAGTAAAACTGTTGAGTTCACCCTATCAACACCCATGTACTATTCGTATCTAATTTAGTCCTTCCTTCAAGACAATCAAATCTATAAATATGTATGGATATATTTCACTTCTGCAAGTCTCAGCTCAAAGCTACTGCGCCAGGACGCTGACATTCACCATTGCATTTTTGCGTTCTGGTTTTTCCAGACACAGGTATGAGTCACTGCAGCCCTGACGTCACAATTCACAGGTATGCGCTCACCTCTGCTAGACGGATGGGCGGCGCGCGCGCGCTGGAGGGAGGAGTTTATGTAAACCCCCACAGGACACAATGCACCCTGTCGTGGACATCTCCCTACACTAAAAGGTGAAAACCCGCAAAGAAAAGTTAATTCTGTTACGGATATAACGTTAGACCATTGATCCTTAAGTCGCCAGACACTTCGTCACCGTCTGTGTTTATCCCTCACCTTGCTGTGACGCACTAAGAAGACCACTCACGTCAACAATATTTATCTCGGAAAATCGACTATGGAAGACTTTGTTTGTTTGTTTTTCTTCTCCCTCAAAATTTCCCCAAATTTAACCTTTTCTAAATCGAGACACCCAAAATCAGTGCAGTGTGTACACTTGCCTATTTTAAATAGCATAATTGACAACAGCTTAGTGACTAACTGAAGAACGTTTTGCCATAAAGCAACAGTTTTGCAATGATTTAATTTTTTATTTTACTTTAAAGACACCAGGAATAGAAACTTTAAGTGAGACCTCCAAGTGCTTTAATGACAGGCATTACAAACAGCATTATAATAGGCCAGGCCATGATACACACCACCACTAACCCTACCCATCCCCAAATCACACAGAAAATTGCTTCCCTCACAAGACCCTAGACTATTTAAATACACCAAGACTGGTTACGAAGATTGGCTTCTAGTTTCAGCCAAGGGTGTCATGTCTGGTATTTATCATTTCTTGATAGATACAAATTTAGAGGGGGAAAGAGGAGGAGGGGGGGGGGAGGAGATGGGACCAGCATGACTGTCACTTTGTGGTGACCCCCTTGTGTTTTGAAATCACCAAGAGTAGGCAACTGACGTGGGTTCATATACAGTGCCACGCTAGCATCAAATGCTGGCACCAAATTATCCCAAATCACCACTAAATTGCACTATTAGGAGCAGCTTGCACAATTACTGCATGGCAAAATAGCCAGAAAGGCCGCGATTTACCCCCTGTGTGTTTGCAGACATTATTGATTTCAAATTCAAACAGTTTTAAATGACTCCACAAAAACAACTTGAAACAGTTCAATTATTTGCTGCTCTGGTGGTTTCAGCTTGGAAGATTTCTTTATTTCTTTTAAAAGTAAAGACTACACAATTTTTTTTTTCTTTTTTAAAGCTAAACTTTTACACCAAATGGCTGCTGATGGGTATCAAGCCAGATAAAAAGAGACAGACATCTAAAGAAAGATAAGTTTATCAACCGTGCCCAGAACAAAATCAATCTATACTAATGACATCTCAATCAATTGTACTCACCATCAAAATCATCATAGTCTGAGTCCCTAAGGATGGTTCCAGAGCCAAAGTCGATGAGTCTGAGTTGATTTGTCTTTAAATCCACCAGAATGTTCTCATCCTTGATGTCTCTGTGGAGGACTCCGAGTTTCTCGATCTGCTGGACCATCTGAACGATCTGCATGAAGAACACGCGAGCCTCGACCTCGTGCAGGGGTCCTCGCTCTGTAATGTAATCAAAGAGATCCTGGACGTTTTCTGGGCGCTCCATGACAATGACAAAACTGTCTGTTGTCTCGAATGAGTCTAAAAGCTTAATGACGCCACTAACATGTTGGACCCGATGTAGAAGATGTAGTTCCAATGGGATCTGCATTCCATTAGCCTAGAAAAAAAAAAAAAAGACACATTTATTATCAACAGTGTGAGAACAGATATAATTTAAATAAATAATAATAAAGCTGGAAAGTGAGATGGATGACCTTTGGCCCATCAACAAGCATTTGTAATTACGTACTGGACGCACCAGGTACAACTACACACGGGAGATAATCAGAGTCTGATAAGCGCAAGAGTTATCTATGGCTGACAATGAAACAAGCGTCACGTGGGCCGTAGAACTTTGACCGCTTGATTAAAGCAAACCCACTCGAAATACGCCACTCGTAAAAATAAAGAAAGGAAAGAAGGGGCACCGTAAGCCCGTTGATCAAACTCTTTGTTCACCAACGTTTTGCTAGCAGGCGATGACTCCCAATTAACAATGTAGTTAAGATGCAGTACGCCGATAAGAAAGAAAACGTAAACAAAACAACAAGGCCCCACAAGAAATCCCGCGCTCTACCAAATTTAGTATCAGGCAGGAAGAACCGTAACTCGTGACGCAGGAGTTAACGTCCGCCAGCTCTTCAACAACTTTCCCGTGACCTCTCTACGGTACGCGCCAGTATCAGGCACGAGGTGCCCCTAAAGTGGGACAAACCAAGCCGAGGCTGGTATGCCGACGGGAGATATTTCTTTAACACCCCCCCCCGGTTCATTCTTCTCCGGCCCTTGAGACGTAACACGCCCCTCCCCAATCCCCCAACCCCTCTCTCTCTCTCTCTCTCTCTCTCGAGGAGTGGCCGTCTGGATCGCGTCAAAACATGGGCACAACATTTTGGCCGTCCAGCTTGTTTCACGCCAAAACGATTGACGTTGCTACGTGGTAAAAGCAGAACCAAAGTGACGAAGTATCAGCAAAACTTCGAATCAACTTTCGTGTCACAAATAAGAAACGCCAAACCCATTAAAGCAGTCGAGGATTGTGTGATTAAAACTCAACCAATGCGAACATTTTCTACTATTTAACCTTGAACTCAGAATGGACACAAAAATCACCCCAACCTCGTGTGAACCACAACCTTGTCATTGTCCCCCCCCCCCTTTGAGGGAAAAGGGGGGGGGCGCTATTATAGCCCCAGCCCATTTGACCCACTTAAGACGACTCCGTTGAATGCCCTCCCCTACCATCATCTTCCCGCTCCCGTTACTTCCAAACAAGATCCCTAAGTTTGACGAAGGAGAAAAAAGGGGGGGGGGGGGGGGGGTGTGTGTGTGCAAGCAAAACTCAGCCGACAAGCCTCGCATTCCATCCTCGTGATTTCATCTTCTGCCCTCCCCGAGCCGTCTTACAACTTTTAAAATAAGGGAGGTGTTGTCTGAGGGTTTGGTTAGTTGATTCGCGCTTCCCTGTTTTCTTCTTACCCCCCCCCCCAAACTCCAGAAGACCTGGTCTAGCCGAGCCAGGAGCTAACCTTTGCGCGCCCATCTACGTGTGAAAGGCTAGGGTACTATAAATACTACAAACCATTGCGTTTTTGGCGCGGTTACTGAGCGGGAGGTGAAACTATCGATCGACTAGATCAATACACGGCCAGGACCACTGCTCGCACCTCGAGTGAGTATGGTACCAGAAAGAGTGGGGGTTTTCAGACGAGAGCCCCAAATGCGTCGTTACGTAATGCATGTCTACGCGAGATATGGAGTCGGGTACACCCGAGACGAGACGGCCGCGTGGGCGAGACCAACTGGTTTAGCTGGCTGCGGCATATGTTATTGGATTACGCCTACTCCTACTACATACTGACAACACAGCCCAGGACGCACTAAATTACAAAGCTATTTTAACATACACTTAGTGGTTTAAACCAGGGCCTTAACACATTGAAAAAAAACTCAACTAAAACACGAAAGCTACATTAAAAGAAAAAACAAATGGTTATCTGAAGAAAGGGGAGAGCCCCAACACAGGGACTGGCAAGGCGACAACAACACAACGTCACTACAATTACAATCTGGGCCAAGCTTGGCCTAGTGGGATCGATAGTCCCCAGCCATTCCAGTCAAAACAGCACCGCCCCAGTTCCCTCCCTTCTGTACTCAGTCCGGGAGGGGAGGCCACCCAAATATTGACGCATATCATAACAATAACACCGCATTGCTTCGACGTCATAGGGAGAACCTAATACGTCATAAAATATTGAACACTTGAGGCTTCACTTACGAGTATGTCCCGCAGTCCGTCATTAAAATGAGAAAACCCCAACATTAAATAAGCAACCAAATGCCATGAACTTATATTTCAGAGACAACACAAAAAAAAATAAATAATTATTATCAAGAAAAAGAAAAAACAACTTGGTGAGAAAGTTTAAGTTCCCAACAGAAAATTTCTAATAATTTGTCCAGCTTACCTGATCATACCAAGATGAGACTTTCTTTTTGTTGATTACTTTAATGGCAACCTGTTGAAAAAAAAAGAAAGAAATTTTTTACTTAAAGTTTGCCAAATGTACTCATTTTACATTTTTTAATTGCTTCAATAATAATGTCATTATAGCAAACCCCCCCCCCCCCCACACACGTCACCCTCTCAGTTCTCACCTGTAGGTCATCTCGCTTCCTAACACCGGAGTAAACTGTTCCGAAGCCACCAGCTCCCAAATATTTAAAGGCAACCTGTTGAAAAAAAAAAAAAGAAATTTTTTTCTTAAAGTTTGCCAAATGTACTCATTTTACATTTTTTAATTGCTTCAATAATAATGTCATTATAGCAAACCCCCCCCCCCCCCCACACACGTCACCCTCTCAGTTCTCACCTGTAGGTCATCTCGCTTCCTAACACCGGAGTAAACTGTTCCGAAGCCACCAGCTCCCAAATGTCCGGTCACTTTGTAATATGTATCCACAATTTCTTTTTCTCTGTAAGCTGAAATAGCGGAAAGGGATGCCATGTTGAATAACTCTACAATTCAGCCCAAATGCCAATTAAATATATTAATATATTTTAGTTAAGCGAAGCTACGGGGGAAAAAACTTCGTCCGTTTAAATGTTCAACTTATTCCGATAATAATAAATTTCATAAATACGGCACGGAAAGCCAATCTTAAACTTTAAAAAGTGTAAATGAATGAAAATTACAAATTTAAAAAAAAATTAACAGAAGATAAAATTTAAAAAAAATTATTTTTTTTAATGTGGAAAATTTAATTTCCCAATTGTACGTATTATTTAAAATGCTGTTTTAAATAGTAATGAGCATGAAATCCTATATATAGTTAATATAGCCTAGATAATAATAAAATAGTTTGAAACTGAACTACATTGATTGATTGCCTACATGATACCTAAAGTGGTTAACTAAGAAACTTCACTTCGAAAGGCATCAAGAAAGCCGATTATTATATTTACATTAATATACAGCCTATAACTCAAAGCAATTAGTAATAATATGATGTGAAATTTACAACTACACACAAAAGGGTACTTCTGAAACTACAAATTTGTAATGACAAATACATGATGTTCTATCGCAATGTAAAACTTACTTTTGACTCCATGTTGGTTCGGTATATTATGGTACGTCTGGTTGAGGTTGACGTTGTTGTTGGCGAGGTTCTGCTGCTGTAAGAGCTGCTGTTGCAGCATCTGCTGTTGGCAGTTGTGCTGGTCGTGGGGCTCGCTAACCGAGGAGCACGAGAAGAGATTGTTCACCAGGGATCTGCTGAACACGTTCATGATGGTAGCTATCCACTTGCCCACGACAGTTCTATAATCCACTAGGCACGGGAATTCCGTTTTAAAAATCGCGTGAAGGAATAAAATAGCTGCAAGTCCAAGCGATCAATTAATATTCGCCAGATACAAATCTTGATTGTCTTCAGTAAATCCCAAGAAATTTTACGGAACGCACAAAGTTATCCAATCGTTCTTTTGGTAGTAGTGAATGTTTACAGTATGTACACCACACAAGACCGTAGTAAAAATCCAATAGGCACTTTGAATTGTAAAATGACAGTAGTTTGCGCGTCACGTATAAGCGACTGGTCTAGTTCCCAACTACGCGCACCCAACTTTTATGTGGCGGCTGCAGACTCGGTCCGTTGTGCAAAAACTTTCGGTGGGTGCTTTGCATGCCCCTAGCGAAGCGGCAACGCGAGCCCGCGGTAGACACGGCGTGTGGTATCACTGCGCTGGCTGAACCAATGGCGTAGCAGCTCATTAATACTACGCTAACAACAAATGCGGTGTTACGGGAGAATATAGTATCCTTTGATTATTTATTTTTAAAAATAATAAAATTTATATTCAAGACGTAGTTATATAATTTATATTTTAAGATTCTGGGATTAGTTTGTACAATTGAATACGTACAGTGATAAAACTGTTCAAGACACTGTGGTAATATTTAGCCTAACAGCCTCATCACACTACTACTGCGCATTGATTGTGTTCGCTCCCGCCCCCCCCCCCTCCCCCACTACTCGGTTACTGAGTGCAAGCCCCTAGTAGAGATAATTTATATTTTAAGATTCTGGGATTAGTTTGTACAATTGAATACGTAAAGTGATAAAACTGTTCAAGACACTGTGGTAAAATTTAGCCTAACAGCCTCACCACCCTCCTACTGCGCATTGATTGTGTTCGCTCCCGCCCCCCCCCCCTCCCCCACTACTCGGTTACTGAGTGCAAGCCCCTAGTAGAGTATGTAGTGAATGGGGGTGCTGTACAGCGGGCGGGAAATATTTCACCAACGCGTAGGCTACTTAGGTTTTGGGTTTAAAAGTTATTTAGGACCTTTGTGCTGGTTATGGAGGATTTAGGTGTAGGAATAGTTAGTCTTGATCACTCTGTGTACCGATGAACGTACACTGTACACCCAGTCGGGGTGGCTACTTTGAGGATTAACGAATGCTTGAGACTAAGTTAAATCTTGTTTTAAAAATTTCTTTGCAGCAATACAATGACAATAGTATGCACAGTAGCTTTAGTTCTTAAAGCCACATGTTAGCTAAAAAATAGGCTCAATGAATTAATCAAAGTGAAGAATATGACTTGGAAACGGTATAGACCGAACCAATCAAATCAATTAAATCGCCAGCCGTCTTCTATTAACATATTTCGCAATCGATTTCGTTGTTCTCGCGTCGCAGTAAACTACGTTCTCTATAATGAAATATAGATTGGATTAATCGACCCCCAGCGTAGGCGTAACGGTTAATGAGTCTTAAACTTAGCAGGCGGGCGTATGAGAATACTGTGGACGTTGACACCTGCCTGCGACCAGTGACCTCAGTCTGTATAATGATTACAATGATGTTAGAAACACATCATAGTGCGCCAGAGTAGGTCGTTTCTGGCGTATGGACATTGGTGACAATGAATGCATCAACTGCCATAAGTAGAATGAAACATTTTACTCGCAGACAGGTTGATACAGGTGACAGGTTGAAACAATTGACAGGTTGATTAAGTGACTGGTTGATACAGGTGACAGACGGATACAACTGATGCTAGCGAACACATTGAACATCAAACGTTTTCCAGTCGTATGCCCCCTTGTGCCGCGTTCATTTTATCAGCCAGCGGTTCTCACGAGCCGAAAACATTGATGTCATTTACTTAATGTAAAAATGAACAAAAGAGTAACTCAGCAATACTGGGTCCTACCTGACTCTCATTTTAGATATAGGTAGGATCTATATCATATGTAGTATGTAAATTTTATTTACAATTATATTTTTTGTCTACTGATGAAGGCATTTTCCGAAACGTTTGAATAATACATACTTTGTCTAATCATATAATTAAATATAGTTTTTTTACATACATTTTTTTTTTGTCTCATCAATCTGGCTTCATTAAGAAAAGTTACAAATACCAACAGGACATATTACAGGACGGGGACTTTTCTATTGAAGTTCTGTTTCATTCAATAGAATATATATATATATATATATATATATATATATATATATATATATATATATATATATATATATATAGATAGAGAGAGAGAGAGAGAGAGAGAGAGAGAGGCCTTAATATATATTTAAAATTTTTTAATGAAAACCATAACAATCATATTTCTACAACCCCTCATAACATTAAAAAGAAAAAAAAATTGTGATAATTTGGGGGTGGGGAGCATATTTAAAACAGAGAGGCCATCACTATGTTCTATGTCTTCAAATTTTTTAACACCAAGAATAAAAGCCAACTGGAAACAGAGAATAAGAATATCAAGCATCTTGCGTCCTTCGGGACGCGTAACCTTGGAACCAGTTCATCCCCGGGCATTTAACACCGATTTCTGGAAAGCGTCCACCCGCAAATGTCAAAGTGTTTTTTTCTTTCCGGAACAAAATACTAAGGTGGCAAAATTATATGAAACCTCTTTAAACGATTGGAAAAAAAAATAAAAAAAATTTGAATTATATAAGTGTGAATTATATTTTTACAA